GAATGACTTAACGATTTCAAAAAAGGACAGGTCATGGGAATGACTTGATGATTTCAAAGAAAGACAGTTCATGGGAATGACTTGATGATTTCAAAAGGACAGGTCATGTGAGGGACTTGGTGATTCAAAAGGAAAGGTCATGAGAGAGACCTGGTGATTCAAAAGGACAGGTCATGAGAGAAGACTTGTTGAATTCAAAGGTGATGGGTTAACATAAGTATACTTCCCGCCCTTGATGACTTCCTCACAAGGCCGGTAAGTGGAGGACTTCTTGATGGGTATATCCCTATACCCGACCCGGACAACCGAAAGGGACAGGTCAAAATATGACCGGTCACTTTTATCAATCACCAAATGAGGTTAACTCTTCGATTGGGACGGGTCAACTTTTGACCGGTCACTTCCACTAAAAAAGTGACCGGTCACATTTTGGGCGTTAGCCAAAATGTCGCCTAATGTTACAAAGGATATTCTAGAAGACCAGAGACGGGTTGAGCACAAAGAATGACCGGGTAACCTTTGAGAGAAGGTGACCGGTCATGTCACTTCACTTTGCAAACATTAGTCCAGTATCTCAGGCATGGTGAACCACGTATGAGATCGAGGGATCACCCCGCCGTTCGTCCATCATGAGGCAAACAGTGAAAGGAATGTTTGTCATTTTGCAGGGCTGATTGGATTGAGAATATCCATTTATAGTCTTTGATTGAACAGTACATGTCTTGGCTTATAGTTGCTAAATTCATTGATTTAATAGTAGATTGATTATGTACAGTGACCTTCCTCCGGGTTTCCTATTTTGTCCATGGATGAATAGGGGAAGGTCACAAATCCTCCTCTATAAATATGATGATATTGGATAGAGGAGGGGATCCAATTTTTCTCTCACTAAAGTTCACTCTTGAGATAGAGTAAGAAATATAATTCGGACTGAGGAGATTTACCCAGTCTAGGTCATACTTTGTGTTCTTGTTGTGTGTTTTATATTACGGGTCGAGTGTGTCCAGGTCAAACCCGGTTAACCCACCCAGCTATATTTACACCATCAGCATTGTGCTAATGTGACTTTACCTTGTGGTAATGTGGCAGTATACATGTGCAAATTACTATACTTTTTGGTAATGTATATGACCATGTATGGTAATATAAGTCCTATTTCGGGAATAAAAACATGGAAGTCATATTTTGGTATATTTTCAATGTTTTAGTCCTACTTTAGTCTTTCTTCCAATCTGATTTGATTGTAATTATATTTATAGTTATTTATAATTCAATCTGATTTTAATAAGAATAAATAATAAATTAAAAAAAAAGTGAATGGACCCTATTCCTTAACACAAAACTAATAGGTCGGCAATAACGAAAATGGCACCATAACTGTCGCATATATTTTACTAGTATTTTAACCCGTGCCACGCACGGGGCTAAACTAAAATTTTGTTGATTATAACATTTCAATTTTTTAAAATTATGTTCTTTTGGATTCTAATTCTTAGAATCTGTTTGGTTAAAAGAAAATAATTTTTTGAAAGAATACAACTCTACTTTTACATTTAGGTTGTATAAGTGGAAGAAATCATTTTTCTTGGAAAAATAATTTCTCCAAGAGGAGAAAATGATTTTTTTGTATGTTTTGGATGAAAGTTCATTTTTATTCAATCCTCAGATAATTTTATTTTTCAGTTGAGTTCATTTCCCCCACCCACCCCAATCCTCTCCCCCTCCCCCGCCCCGAACCCACTCCCTCTGCTCGCCCCTTAAAGAATGGAGCACTATAAAAAAATTGAAATTGATCATGTATTAAAAAAAATAAAATATGCCCCCTAAAATATTTAAAATTATCACAAAATCTCTATATTTTTTATTCAAATATCGGCAATATTTCAATAAAATATGTGTGGGAGAACGATTTTTCGTGAAACTTATTTTCTCCTAGAATAATTGTGTAGACACATATTATCCCACAACTAAATGCGCTGTTAACTTCCAATTTTTTCAACTTTTTCAATTACTTTCAAACTTCTTGCAGTATCTTCTAAAACTTTCTACTTTCTCCCAATTTAATTCTTCTAACTTTTTCAAACTTTTTTCAAATCTCTCTCTACTCTTTTTAGTTTTATCTTACATCATTTGATTTCTTTCAATAGTTATTAAAATGGTTCTAGAGCCAGTGGCTCCGGGGTGAGAGAGTTTACCGGGATATCGAGGGAAGGAACTATTAATCTTGTGAACAAATCACCGTAAGTACTCAAATTGAAGCTAGTCTCGTCCAGAGCCACTCAAAGTGAGTGGATGTAGAATCCATCCATATTATTATTATTATTATCATCATCATCATCATCATCATCATCATCATCATCATCATCATCATCATCATCATCATCATCATCATCATTATTATTATTATCATCATCATCAACAACAACATCATCATTATTATTACTATTATTATTACTACTACTACTATGATGCCACATGTTGCACTCCTCAAGTTAACAATCGACTTTTTATATATAAATGATATACAAATATTTTGTCTTTCTGTTAGTATTATATCTTAAAACATGAAAGAATAGCTCATGTACCCATGTGATTTGAAATATAAGCCTCAACCAATGATATCAGATCTCTTTTCAAAACTTATTTATAAATCTATATGATTTCCAACTCAGGTGTTTGCATTTCATGCTACGGGAGTGCAACTGAAAAATTAAATATTTAATTCAAAATAATAAAAATATCATTTGTTGCATCACAGAGTACATTCTTTCTCGAATGTATTCAACGATGCAAACCTATAATCGATGATGATCTCTCTCTTTTTGTATCTGTTATAACCATCATAAAATAGATACTGTAAATATTTTTTATCTAAAAACTTTAATATAAGTTCTTTTCAATTTCAAAATATATTATTTAGATTAAATATATTCCAACAATGAATTAAGATATAAAAGTTTTTAATCAGGATAATGTTGAGGAATTTTTGTGTAACCAATACAAAACTTAATTTTCATAGAATATATTTTTTGTTAACTAATTATTTAAATATCATTTAATGACATACTATGCTGACATGTCAAAAAATTGCATAGTAAGCGTGCCACATGTCATAATTTCTATGTTATCAAAGTCATCAAAGGTGGCAGATGATTTGTAAAAGATTTCCAAGTAGACTTGCCACGTGTCGCAATTCTGGAAGCCCAACTCTCAAATTTTATATATAAAGATTTTATTTAGATGTAAACACAATTTTTTTAAAAAATATACTTAAATGTACTAAATTTTAGTTTTTCTAACTAGTTTATACTCTGTAAATAATTAATATTTTTATTAATATAAATGTACCAAATTACCTCACTGCATCTCGCTACCTATTACAATATGTCGTCTCCGTTAATTGTCAACGACGCCATATTACCTCACTGCATCTCGCTCTCTTTATTTACATTGAAATTCTGATATCTTCGTAATTCCAATGTCCTTCAGAGTATTTAGGTTTTGTTTGGATTGAGGGAAGTAAAGTTTTATTAGGTAGGTAACGGTAGGTAATTGAAGATAAGTAAAGGTAGGTAGAGTAATATAATAAGTTTAAAATTTATGTTTGGATATTTATTAGGTAATGAAAGGTAAGTAAAACAATAAAATTACTTCAATACTGTTGTGTTTGGCCTGACCGGATTTCGATACTGGTGCAGCGAGCATTTCTGCAGCGAACACCAGTACTCTGACCGCCACCATTACCGTTACGACTACAAATCCACCGGTCGAGATGCCATCACCAAGGAAAAACTCATATTGCCAAAAAAACAACTAAAAAATTTGAAAAATAAAACAATATATTTCAATAAATATTGAAAAAACAACAAAAAAAACCTAGAGATAAAACAATAAAAAATAGGATATTAAAATAAAAAGCAAAAAAACAAACAACCTGCAAAAAAATAATAGAAAAAATGATATTTCAATAAATGAAAAAATTCGGAAATAAAATAAAAAATAAGATATTAAAATAAATAGAAAAAAGAGCAAAAAACAACGAAAAAAATAACCGAAAAAATGATATTTTAATAAATAGCAAAAAAACAGAAAAAAAGAAACATCAAAAAAGGAAAAGAAAACAACAAAAAAAGCAATAATTAAACATAATAAAGGGAGAAAAGAGAAGAGAAACAATCACCGGATGGGAGAATCGAAGAAGCTTTTGCTGCTGGGTCTTTCGACGGTGA